CAGGAGAATTCAAAAGCAGTGTGTAATGGATCTTACCTTATCTGGTGATTATCAGGAGAATTCAAAAGCAGAGTGTAATGGATCTTACCTTGTCTGGTGATTATCGGGAGAATTCAAAAGCAGTGTGTAATGGATCTTACCTTGTCTGGTGATTATCAGGAGAATTCAAAAGCAGAGTGTAATGGATCTTACCTTGTCCGGTGATTATCAGGAGAATTCAAAAGTAGGGTGTAATGGATCTTACCTTGACCGGTGATTATCAGGAGAATTCAAAAGTAGTGTGTAATGGATCTTACCTTGTCCGGTGATTATCAGGAGAATTCAAAAGTAGGGTGTAATGGATCTTACCTTGTCCGGTGATTATCAGGAGAATTCAAAAGCAGTGTGTAATGGATCTTACCTTATCTGGTGATTATCAGGAGAATTCAAAAGCAGAGTGTAATGGATCTTACCTTGTCTGGTGATTATCAGGAGAATTATCTGCTCTTAGTTTAGTCACTAATACCCGGACTATGTTGATAAGAAAGACAAAGTTGAGCTGTAAAAGAGAAACAGATAAAGGGGTAATAAATTCATTTTTGTTATAAGTATGAAATTTTCATTTACAAAAATATACGCCTTCAAGAACGAATCACTTTTAGTTCCTGTTCTAGAAAAAGAGAGAAGTTTACACTTACCTACGAACGCGAGTGACATTTAAAGACAGTCTTCTGTGCTACATTTCGCAAGTGACATCCCTATCTGGTATACAGTGTAGCAGATGTTTGCACATGCTTAGAATTAACTACCATTGATCTGCAGAGTAAATAATTATAACACACATCTAGGACTAGCGAAGAAGCTGCTAACATACGCTTGAAATTAATTTTCAATGGAATATGCTCATTCCAAATGTAACACGATTCCATACAGAACTAGCTTCATAAGGTATACTTAGCATACGATGTTAAGATTAGAATAATCTTTCTACCAAGTGTAGCCAAACACTTCGAAACAGCTTCCCCTCATATAATTTGTCGAAAATGTTAATATTTGTGTATGATGTAATGTACAGGAATGGTTAAAATACACTTTAAATCAGTCTTCTGTTGCGCGGAATCTAATGTACATTTAGGACCAGCTTTATACAGCATAACTCATTAAAAAAAATTTTTAATTTACTGGAACAAGATTTTATTGGACAAAAAGCAGAATATTTTGATAAATAATTAGAACCAATTTTCTATTACATAATCTTCTCGTATAACAAATTATTTACATTGACTACGATATCGATAATATAAAACATATCTTGCTAGATATCTTGATCATCAGATGAAGACTAATTCAGTTCCCCGAAGTACTCAGTGTAGTAATTATAATTTCCAACTTTGTTTAGTTCAAACTGGAATTTATTACGAGACTTTCAAACTGGATTAGCGAACTTGTAGGATATCGATATCCCCTGGCGAAGCTTTAATAGCGAAATATTAAGCAAATAAAGATATATTCTGCATATATATAGGTCGTTATTTTATTTACATTAGTAGAAATACATAGGGTGATACCTCCGCTCGTATCGTCATATCAAACCAATGATATCACAACTTTCATCTGGAGGAAACAGTAACAGAAAATTGATAACGAAATCATTTGTGAATTAAATGTGAAAAAGAAAAAAAAAAAGCATTCAACTTACCAACATAAATATACACACGGGTCCAGAAATAACCCACGTGAACCGGCTCTCCTCAATCCAGCAGCTGTGAGAGCGAGAAGGGAAATATTCTATATTAAATTTCACAAGAGGTTTTAAAGAACGCACTACATACTTTTTGAATAAATATTGTACATAGTAGTTATTTGTCCGTTACGAAACCAACTTACAAGACAGTTTCTTCAGGGAAGGAGCTTCTGAGACTGGCATATGCAACAATCACCAGCATTGGAGATCCTAAAGGACAACCAATAATTCATCAGTTTATTAAATATTGGCCTTCTATATACATACATTTATTACTTCATTTTGATTATGTGTAGAAAGTTTACACGATAGCTATAGTATTAACAGTGTGTAATCTCTCGGTAAAAGATGTGCATAGCCGAAACGTTGAGAAGATAGTAGCAGATATATCACAGTAGCTAACAGTCTCTTGATAAAGATGCATAACGGATAAAAAAGAACAAGTTGTCCATATATGTTGCTCCTGTTTGTTTGAGATTGCTACCTCAACCATGTTTTCTTAATATATTCTATTACATGTTGTTCAAATGTTAGCTCTGGCACATGTGGATAATTAGTTTCGTGTAAAATTTGAACACTAAAATCATAAACACTGTTTGAGAGTTCCTTATTAATAATCAATGGCATTCTTGAACCCCCCCCAAAAAAAACACACCAAAAGACAAAGAACTGAAAGGCAATAACTGTGCTGTCACAGACTTTAACAATTGTGCTGTCACAGATTTTAATATTAACTTTAAGAAAATGATGATTTAAAATCTGGTCTTTACAATTTTATCAAAATATTGCTTAAAAATATTAATCTTGCTTTCTCTAAGCCTGTTTTATATTGGAGTTATATGTAATTTTGAAATCCATATAATTGTATTACATATAAAGAACTGAAAGACTAGTTAAATAATTTGTAGTTAAGACCGTTTGAGTTGTTAGAAAATCTGTTTTTACTTGCTGTTGCCTAATTTGTTTCTTGTATTTTTACAGTACTTGTTCAGAACTTTGGAGGATAAAAGTTATACAAAAGTTTTTCAAAGAAACTCATGTAAATAAAAGTCTGATCTAAGATCTGAATACTTTAAACTTTCATTAAATAATTTAGTTTCAGAGTAAATCTGTCTAATTAAAATTTCTTCAGGGGCGAGCCATGAATTTAATCTTTTCTAACTTTAAAATCGTTTGTTTGTTACAAACATTTCTCACTAGATATGTCTAATTTTCAACAGTACCCACCGCCAATTCTTGTGCTACATTAATAGAAAGTGCGGAAACGGGATACGAACCGTGGACTCTCGAGTTTACAATCCAGCTCGCTAACCACTAGGTCACGCTCTGCCATAAATAATAGACAAAGAGAAAATATTCTAAAACTCAAACTTACCCCAACCAAGAATGTAAAACCACTTCATTATCTTTTCCTCAGACACAAATGCGATAACCAGTAACGTGTGCAGATATAGTCCCTCACAAAACATCCACATGTAATTGCTGAGTAAGAAGTAATGGACCAGCACGTGCAGGACTTGACAGGCCGGCTGAATTCGATGTTGAGATAGAAAGACACCCAGTGAAAAAAAAAAGTTATGTTTTATTGCTTTTATTCGTTGAACTACAAATATCCATGAAATTAAAACAAACGTCATAATACAATAAGTAGCAAGTTACTTATAATAAGAGGTATATATATCGAAGTAGGTCATATATCCACGTGACTTGAAGCGCAGCTACCGAGTAAGTAGATCTTTCAACAGATGCCCTTGATTTTTTCTTTTTTTTTTATAAATTTCGTGAAAATATACACAAATGTTACCTGCATGTAGCCGTCCATAACTTTGAACTGATGGTCAACAGTACCCACTGCCAACTCTTGGGCTACTCTTGTCTGACCGAAATAGTGGGACATGACCCTTACTCCTCCAGCGAATTCAGGGCCCCAAAGTGCGAATCGCGTTTATACGGTAAAAGGACACGAACCATAGACCCTTGGAACTACATTCCGGCACGCGAACTGCTGTACTCCATCCGGTTTATCCAGAATAGGAGATTAGGTTTAACGGTGTAGTGAGCTTCAAACTGCTATATATATATTACAAGATTGTATACATACATAATTGCTAATATTAGTTACAAGTACTTCTCTCATTGTTTCCGCTTAACGATTTCAAAACATCGTATCATCCAAATAGATGTTTCGTACAATACGGTTCCGGAGTACGGTATTTGAATTACATCTAGTTCCCCTTACCTTGTTACTAAAGAGTACTTCGGGATACCTGATGACTTCTGTATACCAGACAATCCACAGAATGTTATTTATAATGAAGGATATGAACAGGTTCTTGTGAATGGCGATTCGCGTGCACTTGAGTGACCTAAGAGGAAACAAACAAAGAAATAAACGCTGTTATAAAATGTCTTCAAAAAGGGTACAAAAACAAAAGGCGTTTATATAAAATATTAATTATACTAGAAATAAACATATACACATACAAGCACACATACACACACCCTCTCTCTCTCTCACACACACACACATATATATATACGAAACAGCTAAGTAAGTCATTAGTTCTGTACTAAATAATTTATCAATATTTGTTATCGGTGGCATAATATTTCCTAAGTTACTCTTTACGCACGGAAAAATTAACGGAAATACCAATATGACCTAAGCTGGAAATTTCCCCTCGATGCCTCTACACGTGTTTAATGAGCTTCTTTTCTCACAGACATTGGGTTATATTTAATTAAAGGTACAAAAGCATAACTTTGAAAACAATGAGTATTGTTAGAAGATCGTAGCTATGGAAACGTGTTTCCTATTCTTTTGTGGCACAGAATGTATTAATAACATGCCATACTTTTTTCAATATTGTTTAAGAATAAGAAAATCAATTTGTGACTGTTTAACTTTTATAGAAATAAGATTATATGTTACAGTAATATAAAGTAAAATATAACCCTGAAATAAAGAAAATCAAATCAGTGCTTAAGAAGATGCCAATCTTCCAGCTTTCTGTTGATTCTTCGATAATAAAGATTTGAGTTTACAGCGCCACACAGAAACAGCGGGAAATAATAGAAATTGTATGTAAAATATAGTAGCTTTGAAAAACATACCAATTACTGCCTTGTGTTTCTTGGAAACTATAATAACATAAATACAAACAAACGACATCGTTTACCCGATTCCTTCAATGTAACCATGTAACAGAGAATAGTGGAAACTGATTCTTATTTGTAACCATAGGAAACGCAACGTTGATACTAAAATAAAATCACGACTTCCAGAAACAAATCGTACTCACCTAAAATAGAAGAATATAGCCAGAGACATGCTGAGAGCTATGACGGATATAGAGTACCCAGCAACGTAAAGTTTATTGATCTTATCACGAAACTGAAAACAGAAATAGGAACCATAATTACTTTCATAAAACAAGAAGAAAAATCGTAACTTCATTTTATGACAGACTGCAAAATATCCGTTAAATCTGTTTTAAATTAAAGAGCAGATGAACCTTGTCGATTTCAACAGGATATGTAAGTTGAGACGATAAAATGGAAGCCAGCTGTGGCAACATATCAGTCATAACCTAAAGGTATTATATGAATAACGCCAGAAAGCAATATTTTCCATTATTAATTAGTCTTCTTTTTTGGTTATAAATAAAGTCCTGGATTTACCTTTCTTTAATGATATATAATTCGCACTTTAAACTTTTTCCAAATTACTTACAGTTCTAGAGAGGTTTAGAAATGTGCTTTCTTTGTGTATCATGGTTTTGGTTGTGAGATACTCGCATATTCTGCAGATAAAAATTTAATGACCGTCAATATCACATTCACCAACTATTGAGGTGAAGACACCTCGTGCAAAATCAACGCAAATGAAATAACTAGTGAACAAGGCATAAAGGTTCGGTATGATCAGTGAGGAATCAATATTATAACGTGTGCAATGAGTCAACGAAATCTTGACCATCTCTGAAAGGTGAGTGTGAAATGCAGTGAAAAGTCAGATGAGATTACATATAAGTGCGACTGTTTCAGTAGAACACAGTGTAATCTCTGTTAAGTGACTCTTATAGAAGAAATACCTCGATGTGAGTTATACATTCTGAAAATTCCCCAGATACTGATATCATAGATCAAATTCAACCAACAAATATTCTGAAAATTCAAAGATACTGGGATCATACATCAGATTCAACAAAAAAAAAATAACGAACAATGTTCTCAACGACGTAATCATGATAAATTGTAGTGTCTATGGGTATATATATATATATATCTTACTATAATGGACGTAGCGTGTTTATATGTATTTATGTTGTTACGTATTACAATTTCAAATAGCCTAAAACCGATTTAAATTGTAATTTAGAGTTAGTAGTTAAGTATTTGCCGATATATCTCCAATTTATGATATTTGCCAACAAGATTGATACACATAGTTTTCTTTTTTAATACAAATATGTTTTAAATTACAAACAACAATACAATTTACAATAACAGTTATTAAAAGTAGTTATTACGAACTATGATTTACATAAAAAAGTTTCACAAACTTACAATCAATATAAAGTCTTCTTTCTAGTCTAGAACTTCCTAGATATCTTATCGAGGGTTGACGATAAGCGAGTTAATTTCGAGTTGGCGTAGGTATAATTCACTTAACAGGGAGCTAGCTAGCCCTGTAGTTCTCGCTGATCAGACGCTGATTACAGGTCGAGTTTCCACCGGCGACGTTAGGTAATGTTTTCGTGAAAGTACTAATGTCCGATGTGAATCCACTGAAGTTAAATGGTTTGTAATGTTCGAAATTTATAAACGTTCCTGGTCAAATGTCTTAAATTTCCCGATTAATTAGCGCTATAACAATCACAGTTATAGCTTTCGAAGTTTATAGCACACCAACTATAGCAACCAATAATAGATACTGTTTTTTGGCGCGTCGCGTTGGTTATATTTATAGGCGTGTAGAGAGTTTCTCGAAAATTCAGATTCCGTAACAATACAAAGCTACATTAGCGTTTACGTACACACATATATTATTGATTCTTACACTCCAGTATCTTCTACAACTTTAGAGAATAGGCGGGAGTTTTGCAATACATATTTAACAGTATAATTTACGTACATTTCTAAATATAAATTTAATTTAAACAAACATCGATATTCAAATAAATATAGAATAATAAATCAGTCACAATGTATATTCCCGAAATAAATACAATGTGACACCATTTATTGAATAGCACCATAAACAAACATCCATAAAAAATTCACAGTTTGGGTATTCGAGATTCAGACAATTAGAAAAATAACTGTGGTACGTGCAACAATCATTTTTTATCACAGAACACAATTTTAAATACAACTTCTCTCCAACAAAAAGAACACTACTTCCACTAGGACTGTATGTGAAAGTTTAATTATATCTTTATTGATGTAATTTATAAATATAGTACTAACAATTGAGTTATTAAAATAAACTGTTATTTTTTCAATCAAGGGTACCACTTTTAATATATAAAAACATTACAGTTTATACCAGCACATTCCAAACACTTTTCCCGAGCAGTACTTCCCAGAAAAATACGTAGGGCGGCGTTTCTGCTAGTACACATAATGTAAAGTTATATGTACTACAAACAAGCACTACTGTATCGTGCCTTAAAACTTTACGGGATTCTGAGTAATGGCGCTTATTTACCACCAAACATTCACAATTTGATGCAACATCAGAACTCAAAGTAACTGGAACTTAGAAAAGTCGTTTAGAACGTATTTTCTCAAGTTGAGTGTACAGTCTGAAATCCGTGATGTTTATGACATTCCAGAGAGTATACAGTGAACTTAAGTCTGCCTGTCTTCTGAGTAGGTGCCTAAACTACATGCTTGTTTTAGCTTCATTAGTTTTCTCGGAACCAAAACTGGCAAGACCTTTAATTTCAAACAGTCCTTAAATCCTGTAGTCCGTTTTAGCCCTCAGGAAAAATGCGCGTAATGCTGGAATTTAGCCTGCGTTCACTACCAAAACAATTAACGATAGTACAATGTACTGTTTGTATAAAATTGCCTATTCCCAGATTTTATCATTCTTCCATTTCTAAAAAAAAAAAACTTAGACTATAAAAACCTTTTTTTTGTAAAAAATCTATTTTTGTGACATAAACAAATAACATCCTTGTAGCTGTGTCTGTTTAAACAGTCATCAGATAAGATCAAATATCACGATATGAATAAGCACATTGTAGAGAATACCAATAACGGTCTATATCAGAAGATAAATAATACAACAAACAATGGACTCTATCAAGATATACACAATTATCTAAACTTCATACCAAAAGTCACACACACTCACATACCAAAGAAATTCACTTAAAGAAACTAAATTCACTCAGTTGTTCTCAAGAAAAGAAATCTCCTAAAAACTACAGATGCGCTTAAATATACAGCAATAAACATTAGTAAATGACCGCTACCAGAACCTGATGAAAGGGTACTAATTAAAACTAAAGATCGCCCTAATACGTAATACAATACCATCTTACATTTAGCTACTATTACAGAAGATACAAATTACAGCCCACCAGAAGAAGAACAAGAATATTTCTGAAACAAAATAAAATCGGCTTTCCAGAAATCCCTGAAATGTAAGCTCCTTGTAACATCAATATAACAAAAAACTACCAGAAATCCCTGAAATGTAAGCTCCATGTAACACGAATATGACAAAAAACTACCAGAAATCCCTGAAATGTAAGCTCCATGTAACACCAATATAACAAAAACTACCAGAAATCCCTGACATGTAAGCTCCTTGTAACACCAATATAACAAAAAACTAGCAGAAATCCCTGAAATGTAAACTCCATGTAACACGAATATAACAAAAAACTACCAGAAATCCCTGAAATGTAAGCTCCTTGTAACATCAATATAACAAAAACTACCAGAAATCCCTGAAATGTAAGCTCCTTGTAACATCAATATAACAAAAAACTACCAGAAATCCCTGAAATGTAAGCTCCATGTAACACGAATATGACAAAAAACTACTTTCAGAAACTTGATGGAAGACAACGCCATAACGATTCTTCCACTCTAGTTACTGTCAATGGGGAATACTCCATCAAATTCTAGTCAGGATTAACCCAACAGTTAACACAGGGGATTCAATTAACCAACTCCTCAATCAGAAATAACTTGGAACAAAAGCAACTGAGCGACTATAAAGTACTATCTCCAAGCGTCTGTGGCCTACATAAAATTCACAAGCAAGACTACCTTAGTCTTCCCATAAGTAACTGCAGGGATTCATTAAATTAGCCTTAGGCTTAAACGCTCTCAGATATTAAAACATTTATCCAATTTATGGAGAATATAACAGAACAACAATAAACCCGCAAGACACAAGATCAACTTTGATATATGCAACCTACTAACCTAACCTTTGAAGCACGAAATATTCTCAATCAACAGCTTGAAAATCACAGACCTATACCAAGTTGACAATCTCCACGGTAACAGAAAATACATCGTTTTGTATCAACACAAATAACGATCAACATGAAAATAAGTAGCCCCCACCCCGGTGGCTCAGCGGCAAGTCCTTAGACTTGCAATAAAAATCGGGTTTCGACACTCATGGTGGGCAGAGCACAGTAAGCCCATTGTGTAGCTTTGTGCTTAACAACAATCAACCCAAATCAAAATAAATATTACAAATCAGAAGAAGGTCTAGAAGTGAGCCCACCACTATCCCCAGTTCTTAGTAACCTCTACATTAAACATTTCGAAGATAACGCCCTCAAATCAGCCGCTTTACGTCCCGGGATGTGACTCAAGTATGTTCACAATACATTCATAATATGACGACACACTACAGGCAAGATTCAAGAGCTCATGAATCACTCGAGCAGACAAAATCATCTAATACAATTCACAATACGAATAGAAAAAAGGTTACCAAGACATTCAACTCATATACCACAGGAGTTTACAGAAACCCCACAGATATTGGGACATAATACAGAATCCCCACAGGTACTGGTACATAAATTAAACCATCTCAGCAGTATAAAGCTGGGATGGTTTAATTTAGTTGTGTGTGTGTGTGTGTGTGTTCATGATTATCATAACGATTGATATCCGATCGCCATAACCTTACCGCGGGTACTTGGTGTATTAACAAATCATAAGAGCAAAAGCATATTATAGGGGACGCGTGGTGTATGTACACCAGCAACTAGACACTACGGACATTAGGCGTGATGGTTACCATGACACTTAACTCATATACCACAGGAGCTTACAGAGACACCATAGATATTGGTACACAATACAGAAACCCCACAGGTACATAACCTTACCGCGAGTGATTGGTGT